CTTAACGATATAACATTATAATAAACATTAAGAAATTCACCAGAGCTTGATGTAAATTTAATGAGTGGCATAAATAGAGAATTAATCTCACGTTAAAATAGCATTTTTATAGCAGGAAATAGCTCCATAAATAGAAATTAAAAGGATTGTTATGTGCTTCGGAATTTTTATCTCATCCGCGAATTAAAGAAACAATTGCAATGGAACATTCTGATACAGAATAGATTCTTCTGAATCTGTTTAGAGATTGGTAAGTATCGTGTAGCAGCAATAAAGATACAATTAATCTGTGTCTGAGAGCAATATTTTTTTTTTATTAACTTCAAAACAAATGTTAAGAAATTATTTAATTGATGGAGGGATATTTAAACCTAATCTCTTCAACTTTTTTTTAGAAATATTTCAGTAATCTTCTCAAAGGTAGTTTTTGTTTTAAGATATTATTGTAAGTTGTGTGTTTTATTACAGTTATTTTAATTCAAAATTGTGGCAACGGTAGCTGAGGGGTCATGGTCGCGAGATCGTGTCCAACGGTGTTTCTACTGAGTTCTGGTGTCATTAAAGACCCGTCGTGTAGAGGAGTTGATGCATGGCAAATCACTTGGGTGACTACGGCAGCCTAGTGGTTATGGTCACAAATTCGTGTCCGGCGTGTCGCGGGTTCTAATCGATGCGCCACTCTAGACCCGCCGTGTAGAGGAGGCTGATGTCTTCCTGTTGGTGTGGTGTGGTAATTAAGAAATGGTGGGTCCAGCTCAGGTGTCGTCCTCGTCACTTGACCAATGTTCAAAAGGGCGAGGTCCGTTGCCAATAGCCGACGTGTTACTTTAGAGTGCGACGTTAATTTTCCTCTGACTCACTCACGTTGCCTTTGTGTGGAAGTTTGGAGTGTGTGGTGCAAGCTCGTCCCTTGACTCTAGTTCAGAATTAGGAGATCTAACTTAAGTGCTTCACAGCGCGACGTCAATAAACAGATAATGAATGAAATGAGGTTAATTCATGTGACGTCATAGTCACATGATAGTGAAAGCCACGTGATTCTAGCCAATGAATTCAAAAACTCATGTGACGTTATAGTCACACGATAAAAACTATCTTGTGTTTCCAACTAATCAGTTCACGCGCTCCGGTGTTGTCAAGTTTTGCTCTTTGCAGAAACTTTCTCTTAAAAAGTACATATGTATACAAAATGCATTTTATTTAAAAGTATAAGCATAAAATACAATTTTTTTTTAATTTAAAAAATCTTTTTGAAGAAATTTTTTCCCCTTAACATTTAATCATCTTTACCCAAATATGAAATTTGAAATTTTATCTGAGTTTTACAAATAGAACCAAGTACGATTAGTTTAATATTTGTTTTGAATTCAATGGAAAACACGTGTTTGTTTTTATCATGTGACTTCATGAATTAAGCCCATTCACTTCAAACTATAAAAAATACGCCAAATTTTTAGAAAGCATTGTGGGTGAGATTGGGAGTTACATTAACGTCGCACTATAAAGCAACACAAGGGTTTTTGGCGGCGGACCTCGTCATTTTGAACCAATCTGAGGGGCAACCCCCTCTCCAAACTGCCACACTACGCCAATGGGAGGACTTTATACCTCTGATTTAACTTGCATCAGCTTCTCCACACGACGGGTCTTCAGTGACATTGAGGCTCGAACTCATGACACGCCAATCACGAGTTCGTGACCATAACCACTAGACTACCGATGCCACCCTATTTCTGTGTAAGCTTAGATGTCGTCCTCTTATTTACAGGGGTCCAAAATTATGAGGTTCGTCACTAATAGTCTTCACGCTGCTTCAAAGTGGGAATTCAATAAACAAAGAAAGAATCAATTCCCTTTATTGGGAATTTTTAAAAATTATTGTGTACGAGAGCTTTCTCTCAAAAATCTAATTACTGCAAATAGAACAATCGTAGTGTAGTCTTATGAAGCAAAATGATGCAATCATTCATTTTAATGAGATTTAAAGGATTGTTATGCAGAGACAGACAAAAGCAGAAATGCGCGCGCACACGTTTCGCGAAAACTCACTCATTGTGTATTTTGAAGAAATTCTGTTTTTCCCTCTTCCTCTACTCGAAAAGAGGGAAATAACTGCAGAAAGTGTTATTTGTTTTGCTCCATCGGTAAGCCGATTGCCAAATCAACTCTCCTCGTTCTGAGTCACATGACGTTCTAAGAAACGGGGTGAGGGAAAAAACGGTGAAGCGACGCCGTTTGTCATCGCTCGAGACAGTTTGTCTACTGACGCAGGTAGGAGCTCGTGCAAAAATTCGAACACAAGTGGAATAAGGAATCGCACGCGCGTCCAACTTCCGGTCTCATGTCATCCAGCAGAAACAAAAGCAACAAATAATAAACCGCTACGTCCTGACTAATTCTGCCGCTTCCGCTCCGAGCAGGGAAATGGAGCGGAGAGGTTCCTAGGTTGAGGAGCAAAAAATCGTCTGCTTTCATTCGATGCCGAAGCATGGGGAAGAGCGCGTGGTGGCGATGGTGAATTAGAGGGGGTTTATTTATAGTTTTTTATTCTTTCTCTCACCTATGGATATATAGTGCTCATGTTCGGGAATTTGGTGCAAGTTTGTTTGTGTAGCTGGGATTCTAAAATGGTGAGTTAGAATTTTAGATTTATTTTCCTTATATCAGTTTTTATTCTAATAGTTAGCGCTTTTCATCCTCGATGAACTTTGGTTATAAAAGAGTAAAGTTGTCAGAGTATCACACACACACAACAAATGCCAATGCAAAAAAAGAAAAAAAAAAATTTTGCATAAAAAGGAAAAATGAGAAGTTTGAAGTGGTTTCTTTTCTTTTTGTAATATTATAAAACAATTTAGAATTAGTTTATGCACAATCCTATACTTATTAAACTTTACAATACTAATTAAGCAAACTGAAGTCAAATGAAGAGTTGGCTTATATATTTTCTTAAAAACTTCATTTTGTGAAAATTATAACGCGTAAAAACTTTTTTAGTGCATATGTGTATGCATACACTGTTGAATGTGCAACTCAATGAAATATATATGAAAAAAAATTATGATGCAACAATTGTTTGACCTAGCGTGAGACATCATTTCTACATTTACTAAAATTTTAAATAAATCCTCTCGAGTTAATAGTTTTAAATGTACTGTTTATGCATTCCAGTATGTTAGAATTTGCTATAATATATTTATGTGCATTAGAAAAGTTGGATCAAACATTTTTTTTTTCTGATTTTCAAAACCTACCTATGCAGAAAAGAGTTTTTCTGGTGTATATATCAAGGGAAAAATAAAATAAACTAATTTTTATGATAAATACAGCCACGAGGGAATGGAGTTTATGTATTTGAGCCTTTTATGGTAAAAGTCAAAGTAATTTTTGTTAAAAAAAAGCAAGTAATTTGATAATTTTTTAAAATTTAGGACTTACTAAATAGTTAGAAAAAAAACACCAGAGTAACATTTAACACAGCTTCTTTTCTATTAATTTAAAAAAAAAGAAGAAAAAAAATTAATTGTCGAAATAACAGAGCGCGCTAAAGCGGAAGACGGAAAACAGATTGAATCGGAGCTATTGGATGGTGCGGGGGAAAGAAAGAGCTGGGATTATGAAATGTTGCAATCTCTCCACATTGTACTACTTATTCACTACGCAGAATTCATTAAACAATAATAATCGTTTTTGATTGTTTATATCGTAGAAAAATAATTTTATTTTGAATTTAAGACCATGAAAAATAGTTTTATCTTACGAAAAAGTAAGTATTTTTTCATTTTTTTCGAAAATGTAATCCCTTTATGGCAATATTATTTGAAAATTGCTTTTCAATTCCTACTATTAGTTCACACTCTCCCTATATATATATGTATCTTGTTCACAAAATTTCAATCGTTAATAAAATAATTTTATTCATCCATTCAAATTGAAATACATCTTTTTAAATTTGTAGTGGATAACACTGGATGTTATATAATACAGTTTTTTCAAATATTCATTCATTAATTCTATTTCATTAATGAATTAGTAACAAAAAAAAATAATAGTTCTATATAAAAAGGAAAATCACTCGTTGTGCCCCTGTAGCGCAATGGATAAAGCGTTGGACTTCTACTCCAAAGGTCGTGGGTTCGAATCCCGCTAATTTCTGAGAATGGTTTCTTTCTACTATTCTATTTTATTGGAATAATTAAATTTAATCAATTAATAAATTATAACAAACAAAAATAATAGTCCAACACCCTATATACAAAGAAAAAAATGGAAAATCGCTTTTTATTTTGCCACTTAATAGTCTGATTCTGTCCTATGTATATACATATTTATATTAATTGTATTTATGTAATAAAAAGTAACTAATATAAATTTTTTCTTTGTTGACCTAAGAAGGAATTGAATTTAAGAATTTTTTTCTATATTTCTTGTTTAAAATAAGTTTTCTTCTAATCTCTATACCAGTGATCGGCAACTTATGGCACGCGGTACAATTCTCAGTGGCACTCTGCACTACTCTACAAATTTGTCGATATTTGAGTGAATGGATTTTAATTGACAAACACCTTTAGAACTATGGACATTTACGGAATTACGAAAAAATCTAAAAAATAACTCCTAAGATAAATTTACAGCAATTTGTAAATTATTGAATGTCATTGCCGGAGAGATTTAATTGTTTGAACAGAGAAAATTTTGCATGGACTCTGCTTTCCGCTTTTAATTCTACATATGTAGAAGTGAAAAAAGTTTTCCACAGATGAAAAATGTTTCAAGTCCGTAAAGAAATTATTTATTAACTGTGTGGAATGCTCAGAATCGTGTCCAAGAGGAAGTCAAAAATTATGCACCTGATTTTATGGTATTAAACAATAGCAGTGCATGCTCTAGATTCGCATTAAAATTTGTATTTATCTTTTTTTATTTAACAATAGTGGAGGGGAATACTTATATTTTTTATGCTGTCTCTTTCTTATTTTAATAAATATGTTTAAAAATACTTAATATATGTACAATTTTATTTATTTTTGTTATTTTTGTTGAAGAAATATATATATTTTATGCTGTTTACTTTTTTATATGTTAAGGAAATATCGTTAAGGTATTCGATTACGTTCGGAACCGTGATTTTAAAAAAGCGCATAAATAGATAATTTTCGTGATATTTAGTGTCGCTTAGGTTAGACTACATGCATAAAATTGTTTTAAGGACATTTTGACAAAAAAATTATTTAAATACAATATTTTGGCAAAAAATTAACTTAGAGTAATCCTTTTGTGAAAAATGCTTCTATTGTAATAATATTTTGCCTGTATATAGCTCTGACTTCTTTACAATGGCTTAACTAGGATTTTTGAAAAATTCACATTATTTTCAGAGTTACAACCCATTGAAATAATGATCGGCGTTTTTTTCTTAAAATTGCTCCCCTCTGTTGTCGTAAAATATGGAAAAACCCACTTCTAAGTTATATATTTCAAACATTCTAGTTGAGCCTCTGTACAGAGGTCTGAGCTATAGACAGGCAAAATATTATTATAATAGAAGCATTTTTCACAAAAGAAGAACATTTTGAAAAAAAAAATTATTCTAAGTTAATTTTTTGCCAAAATATTGTATTTAAATAATTTTTTTTGTCAAAATGTCCTTAAAACAATTGTATACATATATTCTAATCTAAGTGACACTAAATATCATGAAAATTATCCATTTATGATCTTTTGCAAAATCACGGTTCCGAACGTAGTCGGATACCTTAAATGATGCAAAATTAATTTATAATAAAACAGTTAACACTAATGACCTCTGTTCTCTAACTCTGCGTGCATTATCGAGTGAAACGAAATGTTTCAAAAATGTCCAACTGTATGGCTCGCTGAATCATATTGGTAGATTAGTTTTGGGCCCACCAGAGCTAAAAGGTTTCCGATCCCTGCTCTATATCATAGAAACACTTTTCCTACATAGATAGGTTAAGGTTAATAAAAAAAAAATTTTCTCTATATAATCGCGATCCCCCTGGTATGCACATATGTATATGTACACACATGCACATGCACACACACACACACTTATGCTTTAAAATTTTCTGTAATCAAACTAGTATGTGTAAGAACATTTATTTTTAATCCCAAGAATAATATTTTCGTGTATTCTTAATAGCAGTAAAAAAAAGTAAATTCTTAAAACATTTTTGTATAATAAAGATGCTTTATATATGTATTTAGAAAAATATATTTCATAAAAATTCCATGATATTTTAATGTGTTACTTGTTTTTTTTATATTATATAAGTTTATACTTTTTAATATAATAAAAATGATGAGATGATAAATTGATATGTGTTATCATCCCAAATTTCTTATTGTTCACTTGATGTTCAAAATCAATGCTAACATTTCTGCGAGTCTTCATTTTAAATTACTTTCAAAGTTAGGTTTTATATAATTTTATTTTGTTATCTGAATGATTTTTACACATGTGTTTGACTCAATATGTCACACGAAGAAATTAACGACTGACCCTCAAAAACCAATCAACAGATGCGAGTTCTTAAAAATAGTAGAGAGAATATAATTTCTTTTTTCTTTCTTACATTTCCTAAAATGATTTTTTAATTCCTACTATTAGTTTACACTCTTGCTATATATATTTAATTATATATCTTGTTCAAATTTTCAATCGTTAGTAAAATACTTTCTATTTATCCATTCAAGTTCAAATACA